TTCTCTGTGAGAGGAAAGGAATCCATCAAAAGTAATCTGCCTGGAACACAGTTTCTGTTACAGTTTTTATTGAGCTACTGGAAGTCTTAGGGACTTGTTTTCTAATTCCTGTCTCTCACCCTCTACCTGCAAACACTCTGAATGCTGCCTTCTTGCTTCATGGACAGTTTTAGATCCTTCTTCTGCACGGTCTCTATGACTTTAATAAGTCATTACCGTGCCCATCTGAATTGGTGCTTTGACATGAGCCAGTGCTGCAATCGTCCCAATGCCTGTATCCTTCCGGGATGGCTTACAGCGGTCTCCACTTGCCACCCCCTCCACTGGAAGGTGTGGCCACTTTTCCACAGCAGATGCAGCAGGTTATAATGAATTTAGTGGCTTAACGACAGTCATTTATTAGCTCCTAATGCTGTTGGCCAGAAGTCTGCCCAGCGTGGCTGAATTCTCTGTCTAGGGTATCACAAGCTGTCATTTACAATGAAATATATTCCAGAGATTCCAGGAAGAACTAAAAGCCTTGGTATTTCACTGACTGCCGTATGGTAACTGCTCTCAGCTAGAGATAACTTTCGGGTCCTTGTTCTGTGTCCTCCTGAATTCTCTAGCTTGTAACAGTGGTTGTCATTTCTTCAGAGGGTTCCCCTCTCTCTGCGGTCAGCAGTATGTTGAGGGGTGGAGAGATAGCTCAGCAGTTAAGAGTACAGTAAGCCCTTCTAGAGGACCAGAGTTCAGTTCTCAGCAACTACACTCACAACTGCCTATAACTCCAGTTCAGGGACCCAACAAACCTTCTAGCCTCCACAAACATCCACTTTTACATGTGACAATGTGACGCATACACATAAAGACACACAATGCACATAAATAAAAATTGAAAACTCAATCTTTAAAGTCATTAGTGTACCAAGTTGGGCATGGTAGCTATCTTAGTTAGGTTTCTGTTACTGTGCTAAAACACCATGGCCAAAAGCAACTTAAGGAGGAAATTTTTGTTTGTTTGTTTGTTTTTTTTGACTTGCACGTCCACATCACAGTCCATTGTCAAAGTAAGTTAGGGCAGGAACTCAAAGCAGGAACCTGGTAGTAGATCTGAAGTGTGGAGCCCATGGAAGCATGCTACTTACTGACTTGCTCCCCCATGGTTTGCTTATAATCCCAGGACCACCTTCCCAGGAGGTGGTAATACTCACAGTAGGCTGGGCCCTTCCATATTGTTCATGAAGCAAGAAATATCTGATAGTCTTGCCTACAGGCAATCTGATGAAATCACATTCGCACTGGAGTCCCTCTTCCCAGATAACCCTAGCTTCTGGTAAAGTTAACAAAACAAAAACAATGCGAAACACATAACCGAAAACTAGGACAGTGGTACAGGCCTGTAATTCCAGCACTGGGGAAGTGAATGCAAGAAGATCAGGAGCTCAAAGTCATTCTCAGCTACACAGTGAGTTCCAGGCCAACCGGGGCTACATGAGACCCTATTTCAACTTCCTTCTTCAAGTATCTGGTTTCTGCTGTTGTCGGTCCAACCGGGGAAAACTCTTGGCTGTTACAGGACCTGTGTGATTTGACTAGGACTGCCTGGATAATTTCTGTATTTTTGAGAGCAACTAACTAGTGACATTGATTCCACCTGCAAAATCTCTGTTCTCCTATACTGTAGTCATGTAGTTCATACCTCACTGTAGTCTCTGGGCCAATTATACAAGGGTGAACATGATTAGCCATCACCAGCCAAGAGAATCAGGAAAATGTCTTTTGTCGAAATAGGAATGGTGGGGCTGCGTCCCCAGCACCCCGGCCGCCTGACTAGCTTATGCCCGAAATAACAACATACAAACTGTATTCATTTAAACACCGCTTGGCCATGTCTATCTAGCCTCTTCTCGGCTAACTCTCGCACCTGAACTAGCCCATTTCTAATAATGTGTGTAAGCACCCCAAGGTGCGCTTACCGGGAAGATTCTAGCCTACGTCCATCCTGGGTCGAAGCTGCCAGGGAGAGCTGAGCATGGCGTCTCTGCTCCAGAGAGCAGAGCTATTGGGTCTCTCCGGGAGCAGAGCAGAGTCTGACCTCACTTCCTCTTCCTCCCAGAATTCTCTTCTGTTTACTCCACCCACCTATGTTCTAACCAAAAAAAATGGGCCAAGCCAGTTTCTTTATTAGCCAATGACCTTCCTTCATCAGTCTTTGCTAAATGCTACTCTACATGCAATCAGATAGATACGTAGGAAATGAGAACCTTCAAGAAAGCATATACCAAATCCGTATGACTAGAAAATGCATAGCAAAAGGTGGGAGGAAACACTCAAGGAAGGCCAATGTGTGTTCAGCAGAGGGAATAAAAACTACAGAAACTCAGGTTTTATAGATCGGATTCCTTCCCTACTAAAAGCAAAGATCAGTAGGTTGGCATAACTCCAATGGTATTCTGAACATAGAACTTTGGAAATAAGGAAGAGGATTGGATGTAAAGGGTCACCAACAAAGTGTGACAGCCATCCTAGGGGCCTGGGATTGTGGTAGCACAAGAGACTGTTGATACAAGCAGAGTTGTTCAGTAGCTAAAATCAACAGGACTTTGTGATTGATTTGATGTGGGAGCGATGTAGCTCTATCCTCCAGGAAGCAGACTCTCAAACAGAGATCACTGTGAAGGATGTTTACTAAGAAGTACTCTTGAAGTCAACACCTGTGCAAGAGGGGATGAAAATAGGACTGGGCAATGGGAGAGGCTGAGCAGTAATCCAGACCCAGCAGAATCCTCAACCACTCTCAAAGGAGGAGCTGGGGTGTTGTGGACAGATATTCCTTCAGTGGGATGAGGAAATGGGCTCTTTCCCTTCTGCTGATTGATTATTGGATGCATGATAACCCAGGAAGAGTTTGTGATGTTGAAGGTACTCTGCTCTGACAACTTCTGGAGGGGACTGATTCTTGAGCACTGTTTTCTAGGCAATGAATCCTTTCTTTTTGAGGAGTCTGGACTTTGTACCACAAGGTCCATTACAGGGGTGGAGGAACATGGAGGATAAGGATGATTTTATGTGTATGAGTGTTTTGTCTACACATATTTATTTACACCACATAAGTGTCTGGTGCCCACAAAGTCCAGAAGAGCAATGGATCTCTTGGAACTGGAGTTGAGAATCACCTTATCCGTGCTGGGAACCACACCCAGGTTCTCAGCAAAAGTAGCTGGTGCTTGCTCTTAAAAGTTGAACCATATCCCCAAGCCTAATTCCTAAACTTTCAATTTGTGCAGCTTAATGTTCGTATGTAGGACTGTGAATTGCAGTCTCTGGTTTATTTAGTGAAATCCCCACTATAGTGGGAGGTCTTCAGGGATAGACTAGCTGCATGGAAAATAGTGTACAGTCCCATAATTGATACCTAGATACATGGTTTGTTGGATAACTGAATGCAATCTACATCGATTTCCGTCTTTCTCTCCTCCTGTATTTCCTTTGTCCCCTTGTTCTTCAATGCTACCGTCACCCAGTGTGGGAAAATTCATCGGATTATCAGAGATACCACCTGTGCTGGAGCTGAACAAACAGCACAGCAAGTTCCTCTGATCCAGGGCTCTCAGAAGAGCAAGGGAGACAGCGGAGCACGGGGGAGTGGGTGATGACATCCCAGGCTCAACCCTTCCTCCAGTGTTTCATCCCTTATGAACTTGGCGGTGCCTGGTCAGGTCCCCTGCAAAGCAGTCAAAGGATACTAACTCTCAATTCCCCATTTATCCAGACTCCACCCAACTCTATTCCCCTCTTCCACTGAACGCCACTCCCACCCCCACACTTCTGACAGTCGCTTTGGGAGTCCAAATGATGATACTTTATCTCATACTGGAATTTCTTTGGAATGGGAAAGAATGAAAGAAACAATACTGAAAAAAGAGGAGGCCAGGCCTGCCTCAGGAAGCTGCGTCCGCTCAGTCTTGTGCTCCACGCGCACCTCCTGCTTTGTGTTCCCTCCCGCTACACCCCAATGACCCAGTCCTTTTCCGGCCCCCTCTCGTGGGAACCCAGCACCCTACACCGGTGCTGCACCTGTGCTAAGGGCAAACAGGGAGCATCAGCGTTTCGGGTGCAGATGGACGCTGCCTAGAGACCAAGTTGCCTGTTTGCCATCGTTCATCTGGGTCAGGACCAGGACTAAAACCCCACTACACCTCAATTAGTGCTAGTGCGGTTCTCACATCCATTCACAGACGCCTCCACTACCCTAGTCAACTCTAACTCAAGGCAGGCTTTTACTGTGTACAGTCTCCGTTGTGAGCAACTGCGGCTCTCCCGACCCTTCTGGAAGCCCTGGAGCAGAAGCTTAGATTTGGGTTTCAGATAGAAGATGGGGTGGTCTGAGACAGAAGCTGAGGCTACCCCAGCCCTCACAAAAGCTGCAGAGAGCTATGGTAGTGAGTGATCTGTGGTGGTTACTGCGGCCACTGCGGCAGAGCACAGTAACTGCGGCTCCAGGCGGGCTAACGCACCTGCTCTGTAGTGTGGGATCCCAGAAACAGTATCACCACCGCCACTTCCACATTTTCTAAACCACCAAAGAAAGATGTTGGGCCCCTCAGCAGCAGCTATTCACTCCTCCCGTCGTGCAGTCCCCTCCGCAGACGCGCGCAGGCGCCCGTGTACACACACACACACACACACACACACACACACACACACTCGAATTTCCAGAACTAGAGGCAGTGGTATGAGAGGTGGGCAGGAAAGACATCTCTAAGAGAAGAGTGGAGAACCTAGCGCGGGGGCGAGCCTAGAGAGCAGTCACCCAGGAGCGCGCGTGGAACTCTGGAGAGGGGGCGGTGCGCCAAGTGTCACCTGGTGGAACAAAAGCCGCCCAGACAGAGCCTGGGACCGGCTGGAGTCAAGGCAAGGCTGGTGAAAAGTGGAGGGGTAGGAGACTGGGCAGGGGGCGGGAGCCAAGAGGGGCGGGCCATGTAGTGGGCGGGAGCCTGAGCCACCAGCGCTTCAGGGCCAGGTGCAACGGGGGTTGTAGCCCACTTGGCGGAGCTGAGTGGGACTTCACGGGGACCATGGAGCTGCTCAAGCTGAACCGCAGTATGCAGGGACCCGGGACCGGGCCGGGTTCCTCCCTGTGCCGCCCGGGTGTCCCCCTCCTCAACAGTAGCAGCACCGGGAACCTCAGCTGCGAGCCCCCTCGCATCCGCGGAACCGGGACCAGAGGTGGGTGCCTCCTTAAAACCCTCTCATTGCACCCCATAGCACTAATGAATAACCCTCACGACCTCTACACTGTCAACTGCCCATTGCTTTCCCTTGTAGTACTTCCTCGCCTTACACAGTTCCCTCCAATCCACACACTGTGCCCCCAAGCTCTTACAACTCCATCACACCTTCACAGCACCTGGTTCAGAGCCCTGGACTCTTACTTCCTCTGCTATACCTGTGACTATTGTTCATCCCCAAGCTCAGCAACCCACAGCCGGGAAGCAAGGAGCAAGGACCTCTCCTTGCCAGTAGGTCTAGCTCTTTTTCTTTAACATCCAGTTTGCAGAGCCAGTGCTGGAGAGAGAGAGGGAGAGGGAGAGAGGGAGAGAGGGAGAGGGAGGGAGAAAGAGAGAGAGAGAGAGAGAGAGAGAGAGAGAGAGAGAGAGAGAGAGAGAAGCCTGTAAAAGAAAGAAAAAGCAGGAGAAGCCTGTAAAAGAAAGAAAAAGCAGGAGAGTGTGTCAGTGAAGAGGGCTGGAGCTCTCTGGACTGCCTGGATGTGAGTCTGGAGTTGTAATCTGTCCCCGACCCCAGCCTTCCCAAGAAAAGATTGTCAAATCTGAATTTAGCCGGCACTAGGGAATGCTGCCTTTCTTGTTTCTCTTTGCCCCCAAAATTTCTCTGCTCCCAGAGTCAAGCCCTTCATCTATTTCCAAGCCTCTTGTGTTTTTCTGAAGGTTTCAGAGTCCCTTCCAAAGACTCCCAAGTGTCCCCTCTTCTTATGTCTCATTTTCCTGGAGCCACCTTCCCTTTGCATCAGTCTCATCCCTGTGTCGCCAGCATCCCTTCCCACTGCCTTCACTCATCCTGTCTTTAAAGTGACTCTCCCTCCTCCCATCAGCAAGCGTCTTCAGTGTTTCAATGAACATTTTAAGATGCATTTTCCCCTTCCCGTACCCATATGTACTTTCAGTGTTGAATGAACATTTACTAGGGTAAGTGCTGGGAACATCGGTATGAACTAGACAGGATCTGCAGCCTCATCATTGGTCTGCAGTCAAGTACACAGGGACCAAGACCACTGGAAATCGCAGCAAAGGCTCTGATTGAAATAGAGACAGCCAAGGGAGATGGGGACTGATAACCTTGTCAAGGGTGCAGCCTGGGAGCTTGGGTTCTGTAAACAGAAAGGGAAAGAGTTGGAGTCTGTGTTCGAGAAAGAAATGTTGGAATAAATTATAATCCGCATAATTACTTACCCCATAAAACAGCCCATGCTTTCTCCGTCTGGCTGTTACCCGCTGTCACTTCAAATATTTCATTCAGGAGATATTTACTGAAGCAGAAACTGTGCTAGGCAACAAGGATATGAGGGTAACACACTGTCACAATCCTACTTCATGGAGCTCTGAGTTTATAGGGAAACAGACAGGTAAGCAAGGAACACTTCCAGCCTGCCCTGCTCTTGGGAATCAAGACTGCTTTCTTGGGGTGGTGAGACATGGGTTTAAGCAGAAAACTATGGCACACAGAGAGCTAAGTGAAGGAGCAGAAGGAGCACAAAGTGTCTTAGGTAAAGACATGCTGTCTAAAAAGCTCAAAGTTTAAGCCCATGGCAGATTTGTTCAGCACAACATAGCTTTTGAATGGCTGGAACATGTACCATTAAAGGTACATAATCAACACTCAGGCTGGACCAGCCTGGAGTATTATTTATGGAGAGCTTTAAGCCCTTGCAAGAGTGTAGCATTGGGATCTACTGAAGGATTCAATAGTGCTTCCAGGGTTAGTTGTGTTGTGTGGAGAATGGATGGGCGGATGAGATGGAATGCAGAAGGATACTTTAGAAAGCTATTACATTACACAGATCTGGCTGAAAGATGATGCTAACATAGAGGTACTGGCGGAGGGGATGAAGAGAAGCGGATGGACTTGAGAGCCACTTCTGGAAATGGAATCAACAGACCCTGATGATCAATTAGAAGTAGAGAGGGTGGATGAGGTCAAGGAATGACATCCAGTTTCTGGTTTGGGAAAACTGGAAGGATATAGATGGCTTATCATGAGAAAGATAATCAAGGAGGGGCTGGATATGTACTTCATATTAGAGCCCTTGCCTAGCTACTGCAAGGCCCTGGATTCAGTCCCCAGCAACAAGGGAGCAGAAGTAGCTTTGGAAGAGAGGATTACTATAAACTCAGTTTGGAGTCCATGGAGTTCAAATACTGATGGCTAACTCACCAAAGCAGCTGAGTGCAGATATCTAGAACTTACCTTGGAGAGCTGAGCTGGAAATACAGCCTTGAAAAGTCTTCACTTGGAGGGAGAACTGGAAACCATAGGAACAGGAAAGAAAAATCTTTTTTAAAAAAACATTGTATAAGACAAGAACAGAAAAGCTGACACGGGCCCCTACAGAAGGCTGTCATTTAAAGGCAAAGCAGAGGGAGGAGATGAAGAGTGAAATGAAACAGAAACAGTAGCTGTGTCATTGCAGAAAGGAGAGGAGAGTCTTGACTGAGGTGGAGTAGGTGATGCTAAATATTGCTATGACGAGTCAGAGATGAACAAAACACAATGGGGTTGCTTAGACGCAATAACTAGTTCTTAGGAGGATATGTGGAAACCGAGACCTGACTCAGAGTGGGCTACAGGAAGGAATAACAAGAAGTGAACAAGAGTAGTTAGTCAAAATGTCCAAGAAGTAGGGGTGCTGGGAGAAAGAGAAACAGGACAGTGATAGAAATCTTGTGGGGTTGCGGAAGAGTAGGCTGTAGCCGAGCTTTACTGACCCCCCCACACACACACACTTTAGAAACAGGTTCTCATTTGTTGCCCAGGCTGATCTCAAAATGGCAATTTCAAGTTTTTTTTTCTGCAGATTTGCTATATCCTGGGCATTTAACAGTAGGAAAGAGTCAAAAGAGATATTTAAAGGTTCTCGTACAAGGGAGGGCAGCGAGTAGAGGAGGGTTGCTGAAGGAGCAAGATGCTCAGTGATTCAGAGCCCAAGGACAACCTCATTTATCTGGATTGTTGCTTGGACACATCAGGTTGTTATGTAGGTGTGCAGACACGCCGTGCAAAGAGCGCTGGCCAGTCTCACTGAAATAGTACCGCACAGACGCACACGTCACCCGGCTCACTGCGGCGTTGCCAAGAGAAATGTGGATGCTGCGCACTTTATTTTTAGGCAAATCTGAGACTTCTCCATTACTGCGCATGCTGTCCATAGTAAAATGGGTGACACCCACACTCAGTGTTGTCCGCAGTCACTTCGAGGTGGTTTGTCTGTCACATACTACTCTTATTTTATAATCACCTACAAGATAGCACATCTTCCCCATGGCTGCGTAAGTAAACCTTCTCAAGATATCCCCCAGAAAATCATGCAGTATCATTCGTCAGCACTCAGACATTTTCAGTAGTGACTCGGATAGTCTCTGTATTCAGTCGGGCTCTCAGCTATTTCACACAATCAAGATTAACATCTTAACTGAGCTAGACGTGTTAGCACCTGACATTTATACTCACTTAAATAGTGCCCACACATCTTGGCTCATGCTACCACCCCCTCAGTCAGAACCGCAGGCCCGCGATTACTCCCCGATTCACATACAGATCTCTGCATACAAGCCGTGCTTCCTGAAGATGTCATCTGCACCCTGAAGTGTTACTTAGTGTTGGTTATCGTTGTTGCTTACTCCTCTGTCATCACAGTTACTCGGGTGTTCTTTAAACTTAAACACAGCCTTTATTCAATTTGATATTACCAGTTATTACTCAAATAAATAAGGGCTACCTTCACCTGCCTCTATATTACTCTCAAGCTCTAAGACATTACTGTGTTCTGCTATTGCCAATTCACCATTGCATATTACCTCTGCTTACTTGCTCCATGCCACTGACACTTGGATGTGTCTCATGCACCCAGCTATTCCCCCAAGTTAGCTGAACCCTACCCACGCTCACCACACATACATACACGAGTATTACACTGATGTCTCTGTTCCCGAGAAACCAAATATAGCACACCAGGTGAAGGCATTGGCTGCATCAGTTTCTGTGAAGTTTTTCTTAGAAAACCTTGTTTTCTTTTGTTTGTTGATAAGCTACCATGTACCCTAGGCTGGGCTTGAACTTGTGATCCCCTGTCTCCAATCCCTAGGACTACAAGTGTGTGGCACCACATCTGGTTTAGAGGGATCAAACCCTAGGCTTTGGGCATGCTAGGAAAGCACTCTACCCACTGACCACATCCTCAGCTTAAGCCTATTGTTTGCTTTAGATGTTGTCTGGATCCTTGTGCTTATGCCTCTCTGCCATTATCTGGATGATCACACACACACACACAAACATGCACTAATAAATACACACACTCTCACACACACATTCACACGCTCTCACACACACTCTCACACACACACATGCACGCACTCACGCACATGCACACACACGCACACATGCACACACACTCACACACACATGCACTCACACACGCACATGAATGCACACAAGCACACGCACACACACTCACACACAAACTCTCACACACTCACGCACTAATAAACACACACATTTACAATCTCACATACTCTTTCGCAATGTTCACACGCATTTGCTATACAATTGCTTGTCATGCTTATTATAACTTTAACGTCTTTTTTTCCAGAAAATTCCAAGTATATTAAGAATTTCATAAAGGGGAAGCCTAGCTTCATCTTTTTGGGCCACCACTAGGTCAAGAGCACACATAGGGTGTGTATCGACTGCATGAATGGGTGTGACAGTTTTTAGGTACTTGTGTAGTTCAAAGTGCTACACAGCCTGAAGTGTAGTAATTAATGTTAAGGTGAGTAGAGACAGAAGAAAGTGAACTTGGAGAAAACAAAGATGCAAAAAAGGCCATCTGCTCTCCCCCTCCCCCCGGGTCCAAGGGCCTCTCTGACAAAGATCTTCCAGAGTTTATTTATTGTCTCTGCATACACACACACCTCATGCACTTCAAATTTGCCAGACATAAGCCTTTCATAATCTGTCCCTGTGAAAAGAACATAATTCAAGCCAGTAATACACCAGTAATTGTAACACTCAGGAGGTAGAGGCAGTAGGATCTCTGTGAGTTCATGGCCGGTCTGGTCTACATAGGGAATTTCTGGACAGTCAGGACTACATAAAGAGACCCTGCCAAAAAGAAGAAGAAGAAGAAGAAGAAGAAGAAGAAGAAGAAGAAGAAGAAGAAGAAGAAGAAGAAGAAGAAGAAGAAGAAGAAGAAGAAGAAGAAGAAGAAGAAGAAGAAGAAGAAGAAGAAGAAGAAGAAGAAAAGAAGGAGGAGGAGAAGGAGGTTTGAAAAATAGGCATACAAAAGCAAGAGTACTACATCAAAATCATCCTGTCACCTGCTATTGGTCTATCAAGGCCCTCCAGTGTGTGTTTCCTAAGATACACTGGCAGAAAAGGAAAGTACAAGAGATTGAGGTGCCATGATGGAATAGAGAGACAGGGGCAAAGAGGAGTTCAGATTGGGAGAAGAAAGAAATAGTGTGTTGAATGGTTGAGCCCTAAGGCAGCTAGGCAGCAAGGCAGCAAGACATTTCAGACACCCCGAGATCGAAGCAAGTAATGTTACTGCTAAGTCCTGTGGGGTGTGTGTGTGTATACATTCGTGCAAGCAAAATAGGGAATCAGGTTCCCAATATCCAAGATCTGGAATTACAGACAGTTGTGAGCCAACCAGCATAGAAATGTTCTTTATAGCTAAGCCTGCTCTCCAGTCCCCTGTTTGAGGATTTCTAATAACTAGAGGTTATTTATTATCTAATAAATAGAATAACCTCTAAATCAGCTAGTTATCATTATGAGCCAGTAATCCAGTTTGAAAACTAAGCCAAGAGCCAGCTAAGAGAAGCAAGCTGGGCAGTTAAGGAAGAGAGGCTGTACCTCTGGATCCCTCCCACTCCCACAGTGTAGGAGGCTTTCTGTCTTCAAACTCCTATCTCCCTGACACTGAGGCCGTGGGTATGGATGACTCAGTCCACTTCAATTCAATCCAGTTTTGTTCAGGTTTGCATGTTTATGATACAAAGGTCCAAAGATGAATCTATCTCCCCATAGACAATGACACAAATGAATTGGTCACCTCTCTAGCCCTTCTGACTCACCCAGCAGCACTGGTGTCCCCTGGGGCTCCTAGAGCTTCTTGAACATCTCTCAAACTCACTTCCTATCATACTGTGTGGCAATTACCTCTTTAAGTGTCTCAGATTCCCTCTCTACTGTCAGCTCTCGAATGGCAGTCACCTCTTTGTCCCCAGAGCTCGACACAAAGGAAGTCCTCTGCAAATGTTTACCGAGGAAGAACGAATCTTTGGAGAATGTTAAAGCACAACATGGAGAGAAAAACAGGGACTCTAATAAATGTGTAGGGAATGTGGAACACGCAGGGGTCAAAGAGTAGGACATTAGCTCCAAATGAGGTGCTCAGGATAGCCTTTGCAAAACAGTGGCAAACAGTCTGATTCTTGGTAGATGAGGAATTTATAGGCATTTACCAGATTTGGGAAATGTTTGTGTTTGGGGTGGAAGCAGGGGGTTATGAAGAGTTTTCATTCCAAGGCTGAGAAGTCAGCTTAAGAAGGAGTCACGAGTGCTAGTGGTGCAGGCAAGAAACTGAGTCATCAAGAGACTGGAGTGGATGCAGTGCTGAGAGGATGAGACAGCCCTGAAGGAGGGGCTGTGGACAGCACATCACAGTGACAGCCCTGAAGGAGGGGCTGTGGATGGCACACAACAGTGAATGGCTTTTCTCTTCTTTTAGTTGGGAAGGGGCTGTTTTGGTTTTGTTTTCTGTTTGTTTGTATTTTGGGGAACACAGACACATCCAACTTGGTTTGGGGTGAAGTGGGATTGGGGGTCTGGATGAATGGTACTCAAACCCTCCTACAGCCACCTCTCTCTTCTGCCTAGAACTGGAACTGGCCATTAGAGTCACCCTTTACGCCGTGATCTTTCTCATGAGTGTTGGAGGAAACGTGCTCATTATTGTGGTCCTGGGACTGAGCCGGCGCCTGAGAACTGTCACCAATGCCTTCCTGCTCTCCCTGGCAGTCAGTGACCTCCTGCTGGCTGTGGCTTGCATGCCCTTCACACTCCTGCCCAACCTCATGGGCACATTCATCTTCGGCAGCGTCATCTGCAAGGCCGTTTCCTACCTCATGGGTAGGTGAGACAAACATCTCCGCCTTGGCCCTCTCCCTTCTTAAAGTACTTGGCAAATATAAGGGTTTTTCTTGATGAGGGTGAGGAAATCACAGTGGTGAGCATGCAGTGTGTGTGTTCCCAACGTGATCGTTTCTTCTCATGTTGCTTAGGGGTGTCAGTGAGTGTGTCCACGCTAAATCTCGTGGCCATCGCCCTGGAGCGGTACAGCGCCATCTGCAGACCACTGCAAGCACGGGTGTGGCAGACCCGCTCCCACGCAGCACGGGTGATCTTAGCCACGTGGCTACTGTCTGGACTGCTTATGGTCCCTTATCCTGTATACACCTCAGTGCAGCCAGTGGGGCCTCGAGTGCTGCAGTGCGTGCATCGCTGGCCCAGTGCGCGTGTCCGCCAGACCTGGTGAGGGCACCCACCACACTATCTTCGGAAGTCCTATTCCCACCTTCCTCAGATGCTTACACCCCTTCCTCAGAGCAGTCCTAAAGCTCCAGGAATTTTCCCTCCAAGCCCCTTTCTACACCACCACATTTGGAATTCCTACTTGGGGGTCCCTCGCCAGTCCATCGCCCTTCCCAGCGGCATCCCCAAAGCCTACCCACCCCTTCCTTGATCAGCTGGCCACAGGCCAATTTTGGCCTCTTCCGCTACCTGTAACTGGCCACACAGGAGACATTATTGGTCTGTGTTATGTCCCCAGGTCAGTACTTCTGCTAATGCTTTTGTTCTTCGTCCCGGGCGTGGTTATGGCTGTGGCCTACGGGCTCATCTCTCGCGAGCTTTACCTTGGCCTTCGCTTTGATGGTGACGACGGTGAGATCCAAAGCCGGGTCCGAAACCAAGGAGCCCTGCCGGGTGGAGCAGCACCAGGTGGGTGAAAAGGTGAAATGCGCGAGGGGCGGAGCTTTGGTAATGGACGTGACCTCCTTAGTGGGTGGATCAGAAAGAAGTGTAGAAAGGAGACGGGAGATCAGGGTAAAAGCCGTGGGGAAGGGGCATGGAGTGGATGCTGGGCTGCAATTTAAGAGGACTTTGCCTTCTGCTTTGATTGCACCCTCTGTGCTCTATGCTGTGCTCTGTGCTCAGGGCCTGTCCATCAGAACGGGGCTTGCCGGCCTGAAACTAGCCTGGCTGGGGAAGACAGTGACGGCTGCTATGTGCAACTTCCGCGTTCCCGACTGGAGATGACTGCACTGACCACTCCCACTCCTGGGTCAGGCCCTGGCCCTCGGCCCAACCAGGCCAAGCTGCTGGCTAAGAAACGGGTAGTGCGAATGCTGCTGGTGATTGTTGTGCTTTTCTTCCTGTGTTGGCTGCCAGTGTACAGCGCCAACACGTGGCGCGCCTTCGATGGCCCAGGGGCACATCGAGCCCTCTCAGGGGCCCCAATCTCTTTCATCCACTTGCTGAGCTACGCCTCTGCCTGTGTCAATCCCCTGGTCTACTGTTTCATGCACCGCCGCTTTCGCCAGGCCTGCCTGGATACATGTGCCCGCTGTTGCCCACGGCCTCCACGAGCTCGCCCCCGGCCTCTTCCGGATGAGGATCCTCCTACCCCCTCCATCGCTTCACTGTCCAGGCTAAGCTATACCACCATCAGCACACTGGGACCTGGATGAGGGGTTGAGGGAATGGAGGGTAAGACAGGACACACGATCCCTATAAACAGACCCATCCAAACACATAAGAAACACACCATGACTCACCCAGGTGGACGTCCAACAGCACGGATAGCCGCCTACACACAGAAAGTGTTACCTTTGCTGCCCCACCTGAAACAGACTGGAGTCTCAACAAGCAAGGAGGCACACTTCTGATAGGGGACTGAGTCCCACCCTAGGCACCTGGCACCGACCCCACTGGATAGACAATCACAGTGTCTGTAGCAGTGAATTTTCGCTACACAAGGGGAGCTCTGACAATGGCTGACTGGCTCCTCATGTGTGTAAATTAATGGCACTACCCATTAGTGCCCAAACCTAATGCCAGACTAACCTAGGATGTTGCAGACTGTCCCCAGTTTGACCTCATCATTCCCTTCGTCACCCAGCACTGAAAATAACAATAGGCCTAATCACATACCTTCCCAACTTGCAGACCTTTCCGCAACGAAAAATCCCCTTATCCCTTTCTATTAGGGACTGCAGCCCTGACCCTCTTCCTTCACCAGACCACTTCTTAAAATAATAAATGGCTTAGTGTCCTCTTGGGTGTTCTGAACTTTGGGAGGCAAGTGAGCATTATGGATTGTGTAAAGGCTTCTTCATCTGTTTTCTTCCACAACTACTCAACCCTGTGTCCGACACTGTGCAAAAATGTCTTGGGTATACTCTCACTCGGTTCTCATCTCATCTCCCCATAGTCCAGTGATGATTCTGGGATCCATTCACGACACTTCATGTTTCCTGAGTACATTCTCCCATTTGATGCTACTGTCAAAGTACTATATTAATGGATGTTTGTTAAACTTTTGATGAAAAGATAGAAGGTGAAAGACTACATAAGACTTAGATTATTCAATGTGTGTTTGAAATGCCAAGAACCAGACTATGGCAGGTACATGAAAGTTAATTGAAGAGTAGGGTCTTTTTATTAAATACTTGATCTGCTTTAGTTTCAGAAACTGGCCAGGATATGGTTGACTAGAAGTGTGTTCAGTAGATGTAGCAACAAAGACACCTGGGGGTGAGAGGATGGAGTGTAGAACTGGGGGTCAGTGTGAGCCTCCCAACTTAACTTCTCTTTTCACCATAAAACTCATCTAGCCCCAGAGAAAGACAGAGAACAGCAGCCTTATCACTTCATACACACACACACACACACACACACACACGAGAGAGAGAGAGAGAGAGAGAGAGAGAGAGAGAGAGAGAGAGAGAGAGAGAGGATAGATAAGAATAATCAGAAGCAAATATTGGGAGAAGAGAACTCCTTGATCCTTTATCTAGCAGTAGATAGAGAATCGGATGGCTTAGGGTTACTGCTGCTATGATGGACACCATGACCAAAAGCAAGCTGGGGAGCAAAGGGTTTATTCCGCTTACACTTCCACACCATAGTCCGTCATTGAAGGGACTCAGGACAGGAACTCAAACTGGAACCTAGAGGTAGAAGTTGCTGCTGGGGACATGGAGGGGTGCTGCTTACTGGCTTGCTTAACATGATTTGCTCAGCCTGCTTTCTTATAGAACCCAGGATCACCAGCCCAGGGATGGCACCACCCACAAATCAATCACTAGTTAAGAAAATGCCTGACAGGCTTGCCTACAGCCAGATATTATGAAGGCATTTTCTTTTCTTTTTAACTTTCTGTTTATTTATTCTTCGTGTCTTTCACATTGTGCCTCTTCATCCTATTCATTTTCCTGTTCCTTCGTATCCACCCTCTGCCCTTGAAACCCCCTCCAAATACAACACAATTTAAGAGAAAAAAAGAAAAGAAATCTTGTCATGGAAGCTGCAGTGTGACACAGTGAGTTATGCAGTAAACCCTTTTGTCCACGTAACTTTGCTTGCTTGTGAGTGTCATTGAGAAGAGTCATTGGTCTGACTCAAGGCCTCTGGAGTCTGCTACAGTGTTGATGCTGGGCCCTCACTGGGACTTCTCTTGGAAATCCTGTTGCCCTCTGTCGTGGAGGTCCTGCAGCTTTGTGTCTACAGGACTGACTCCTGCAGATCACAGATGGGGTGGATGTAGGGGTGGACCAACTCATAACCTTGGCCTGGTTAGTTGCAGGGTTGGTCTGCCTGCCAACTCTTCCTGTCCTCCCGACTAGGGTGGCGCTCTCCTGCATTGCCCTGGCTAGTTCACCCCTTGCAGCAATGAGCAAGGGGCAGAGTCAGTTCTGCTTTCACGCCCATGGAGACATTTTCTTGATTGAGGTTCCCTCCTCTCAGATATCACTGCTTATCCTGTTGATGGAAAGAGAAAATTGAGTCCTGAAAGTTGACCTCTGACCTCCACTTGTGCACTGTGACATGTGTACATACACTCGCACATACGCCGTACACACATAACAATAGTGAATCACTTTAAAATAAGAAATAACAATTAATGGCTCCTCAGCTAGGGGTTGGTACTTCCTTAGCCTCTTCCCTCTCCAGGCTGAGAGTTGAGATAGGGGAGTCCACGACAATTTGGTGGTAAATATGATTTAAAATACACTGTAGGAAAATTTCAAAGAATAACTTTTTTAAAATATTAAAGAACTATATAGATGTAAACCCCGAGGTGGAAAGAGTCAGACCCAAGTTTTGTGAGACATAAGGTATACAAAAGTTTGAATCCTTTACAAAGAAAAAGAAGACAAACTGAGTACACATAAAATTGCTAGAGTGCTGAGCCGGCACCTTGGGAAAGGCCTGCACAGGTCAGGAGCCCTGAAATGAAAGCTTTGTTTGCCTTGCCTACCATCCACTCACTAGCCAACTGACCTAGAGGAAGGCCCGACGATGGAGGGAAGCACAGTGAAGAGGGATGCGGGCTCTCTGTTTACCATCGCTCCTCCCAGGTTCTGGGCTCTGAAAAGCTGGGGGAAGGAAGAAAATGAAGGAGAAGGCGTTCCAAGCTGTCAACTTAAGACCATGCTGGTTAAAAATAGAATCCCAGATGGCCCGAGGAGCTGGAGGGAGATATTAGGCCTTACACTCATGCCAGCTTTTCTACGGGAGCAGGAAGAGGCTGTCCTTAGGCTCCTCAGTAGCTTCAACCAACAACCCTTCTAAGAGGATGGTGAGGATGGCTCCTCTATCAGGAAGGCATTGACTTCTGAGGACCATGAGAGAGAGCAGGAGCTGGGGCAGGGGAGGACTGAGTCCAGCTTCTTTGAACATCCAGTGTGAGTCTAAGTACATTAGCCCAGGCTTGACTTAGAAGCAAATGCAGGGCATAGCCTGAGAAATACCACTGCACACGCAGACAGCCTTTCACTCACAGAACACCCATGCCTCAACCATCCAGCTCTGGGCAATGTCCTGTTTCAGATGTGAAGTTCCAAGCATCTCCCATCTGTTTTATGTTTGCTGCAACTTGGCCAACCATGTCTGGTGCAGACTTATTGTCACTGTCCCCAGGAGGCCTTGTTTGATCACTCTGGAAGGTCTGTCTGCTTGTTCGGTATCTCTCTCTCTCTCTCTCTCTCTCTCTCTCTCTCTCTCTCTCTCTCTCTCTCTCTCTCTTTCTCCTGACAGTTCTTTGCCTCATTTCTCTCTTTGGAGGAAACAGAATGATAGGACATGAGACAACCGAGCCAGGTGACAGAGAGGGTGCTGGTGAAATGGCGACATTGTAGGTCCTGGGACAGGCATTAGACAGATTCGTGGATTTCCTTCCAAGACCCTTTCGCGGAGCAGCCCTATTTTCCAGCAGTGAGGAGGGTGAAGCTGAGGAAACTTCAGGGAATTAGATAAGTCGCCACATCCAGAAGAGAGCCCAGAACTGAGCTCAGGCACCTGACTCCAAAGTCTTTCCTCCCCACCACAGGACTAGCCAACCTGTGTTGTGTGAAGGTGGACTTCATGGTGCATGCCTTTAATCTCAGCACTGGCGGCAGAGGCAGCTGGATGTCTGTGAGTTCAAGGCCAGCCTGGATTACATTGTAGTTATAGGTTAGTCAGGGCCACACAGTGAGACCCTGTCCCTCCCCCCAAAAAAAAAACACTACAATTTTATACAGGTTGTCTCATGGAGTTAGACGCAACTATCTAATAGTTACATTGCATTTATAATACCATTTCAGAATTAAGTAGACTAGTGAGCATGAAATGGATCATCATCGAGTCTGGCATGATAAGGGTTAAACCTGAAATTACTTTGTGACCAGGAGGAAGAAAAGCACCAGGAAATTGGGTCTAGAATAACCTCCCAAATGCCCACATGTTAAATAAATCCTTAGAGCCCAGCTTTGTGATATTGGAAAATGGTGAAAAGTGGGTGGGAGGGTGATAAAAACTGTGTGTACTCACATGGCTGTGGGTCTACCTGCGCATGTGAGAGCATGTGTGTATGTAGGGTATGCCTAGCATACATGTATGCTAGCATGTGGAGACAGGTCAACCTCAGATGTCTTTCCTCCTGTTTGTTGAGACTGGGTCTCTCACTGACTTGGAACAGGAGACTAGCCAGAGAATGAGAAGGATCTCTCTGTCTTCACCTCGTCAAGGTGGGGGCTAAAAGCATGTACTTCCACACCTGGCTTTTTAAATGTGGGTTCTGGGGATCTAACCCAGATCCTTGTGTTTGCACAGCAAGTACATTATCAACTGAGCAGGCTCCCCGGCCAACCAGGAACCCACTATGTCAAAATCCACCTCTGCCTTCAGAACTGAATAGTTTTGCTATATCACATGATCTCTACCATGGCCCCTCCCCAGCCTTAAAGCAATGGGACTGTTTAGATGCTCTCTACTTAATTAATGGACTCACACCTCCGAAACTGTGAGCCAAATCAACTTTTCTTCTTTATAAGGCAATTGTGTTGTGTAATTTGTTACACGGATAGCCACCCCTAACCAAAAGGGACAAACATAGTTTAAAAGGAGAATCAGAACCTGCTGTAAGATGATACCAGAAAGTAAAGTCAGTAACTGAACCCAGCTCAGCCTGACCTCAAAGCCCATCTTTTTCATCTTAAATCCGGACTGATTTCAGGGGGGCACATAGAGGGATGGAGGAAGTAGTTGAGAGCAGTTGTCCCAGGGCCTACAGCAGAGGGTACATATTACAGGGGTACCTCTGCAGGCTCGGACCTGTCCCTCAGCAGCTCTTGTTCTACAATCCCTATACAGAAGCCCCTTGGAAACCATCTTCTATAAAGCAAAAGTACTGGGTAGTGTCCTGGAAATTCCATCTTTTTTTGTTTGTTTGTTTTTGAGACAGGGTTTCTCTATGTAGCTTTGGTGCCTGTCCTAGAACTAGTCCTTGTAGACCAAGCTGGCCTCAAACTCACAGAGATCCACCTGCCTCTGCCTCCTGAGTGCTGGGTTTAAAGGCGTGCACCACCACCACCACCCGGCCTGGAAATTTCATCATTTAATATCTCCCAAGAAGGCAGGTGTCTCAGAATCTCCAGGCGGTAAGCTAGAGGGAAGGGGCTGTCACCATGAGCATCTAGAAGGTACGGAAGCCACAGCCCATCACACACATCTCCAATCAGATTTGACTAGTGGGGAGAGGAAGATGAGTTACAGACTGTTCATTCAAGTCACCTCTAGGAAGGGGAAAAGGAAAGAAAGCAGGAGGCACGGGGAAGACAGCAGGCCCCAGCTCAGCATAACCACGGAGGCACAGTGGATGTGGGGCTCTTCAGGAAACTGCAACCTGTGTTGTGGATTCCAACCATGATCCTTGGAGTGCTGATTGCTCTTTGAACCACACTTACTAATTCTCAAACTTAGGAGGTACTT